AAAGCTGTGAGGGCAAGGCAGCATTCCTCGGGGCTCCTTTGGCGGGTGCACAGATGGGGAGCATCAAGGAGGGAGCCTAGGGCCAGCATTAGGGGTTGATGAGTGTCTGAACTTTCTGGATTCACAGCACTCAGACGCCAAAGGATCTGTGACCCTAAACAGGCTAAGAACCGTCCTCCAAAGGAGCGGTGGGTCCCTTCACTGCGAAGTCTGCAGAACTGCTCTCATCCAGTGCTGGGAGGACCCTGGCATCAGGCTGCCCCAGACCCAGGGTTTGTCCTCCTGCACCCACCAATCCCTCCAGCCTTCTCCTTAGCCCTTCAACTCTCCTCTTCTGTGTTTTGTTTTCCATAGGTCTCACGGGACCCCAGGGACCTCAGGGTGAGTCATCGGGTGACTCCTTCCTCCAAAAGCTATTGCCAAGCCTCCCACTCCGAGCATTCGGCAAACGCTTCTCTGGTTACCTTACAGTTCCTCTCCTCCCCTCACTCCCCTAGCAGAAATGGGTTCAGGTCCTTTTACTCTTGAGTCTTGAAAAGTGCCTTAGGAAGGAAAAATATGCACAGAACAATCTAGAAGTCCTTTCTGGGAAAGAAGAGGTTAGATCACGTGCATTTTCTGCCTGCCTGAGCCAGTCCTCTTTGGTGCAGGAGTTCCATTAGCCCCACAGAGACCCACGTCCCCTGTGGCAGGGTAGGGAGTGGGCACTCTCCTCATGCAGAAGGGCCCAGCTTCTCTGGGGCAGCCCCAATGTCAAAGTTTGTCCAATAGTGGGACAGTGTGTACCCACTTGGATTTGAGAAACTGTCACCACACCAGCCCCAATTCCTAAGGAAATTAGGCAAAGATGTAAAATAAAATCAAGCAGCAGCTCCCTGCAAGAGCTGAGCTCATAGGGATGTCTTTCAAATACTCCTTGGTGTTCAGTGGACGAAAGAAGAGGGGGTCTTGCATCAGCTCTAGGAAGCCCAGCCCCCACTCCCCTCACGGCAGGGGCGGGGGTGGGGGGCAGCGGCTGCTCTGCAGGCTACAAGGGGCTGATAACCAGAGGGACTGGGATCCCCCCAAGCTGAGGCCGTGAGCCTCTGCCTCCCTCAAGCCCAGTTATTGCCCCATTTCCCAGAGGCTGGGGAGGGCTTAGAGCGAGAGGCTACCAGGAGGGGCCACTGGGTTAAGGCCAAAGGCAGAGCCAGGTGAGTCTGCGGGTTTCAGCCAGCAACTGTGGCTCTGCAGTGACAGAGCGCAAGGAAATACCACAGGGTGTCTGAAATTGCAGGCCCTTAATCATCCTGACTGACTTGTTTTCCATCTCATTAGGTCTTCCTGGTACCCCCGGACGACCAGGGGCTAAAGGTAAGTGATTTTCCAAATCAGATAGTTACTAGCCATTTGGGCAGGAGGGAGGCCCCTCTCTGGCCAGAGCCTGGATCAACAGTGGCATCTAGTGGCTTCAGCAGAAGGCTGTGAGGCCAGGGAGCCAGGGCTCCTTTCTGATCAAGTAAGCCCCGAGTCCTCACACCCAACCCTAGCCCCACACCTCCCTCCCCACAACCCAGAGCCCCGCTTTGGTTCCTGGATGTCTCCAGGCCATCGCTGGAAGAGGATCGGGAGGGAGCTGCCCCCACCTCTAGAAGCTTTCCCATCCCCTTGCTTACTCTGAAATGCCCCTGCTAGTGCTCTGTCCCCCTCACCCAGGTGTGGTCACCCCAAAACGTGATTCTTCCCTGAAACAGGAACCGCCTTGGGTTTTATGGACCACATAAGACCTCAGTGTGACTGGGACCGTCACCCCCTTTCTGAGAGGGGGCTTTAATGCAGGCAGCAATGCTACTAAGAGGGCAAAGTCGGAGATCTGAGAGGAGCAGTCATGCTCAGGGCTTTGACCCTTACTCACAGGGTTCTGCACCCTCAGACCCCAACCCTGAGCCAGTCCAGGATAGACAGTGCTCAGGGGTAGTCCTCCTTCTGCCCCTGTGGCCCCACGTCCCTGAGCCCTGACATTCTGTGAAGCGGCCCTCCATCATAGGCAATCACTGTCAACTTGGGACCTACTTTCCAGAAACTATTTCCAATAAGTGGTTGGGCCAAGGAGTTCTTTCAGGCACATCCCAGGCAGACTTCTGGGTCCACAGAGCTACTCATGGATTGATGGCACCTTTAGTAAGAGATTGGAGGTTTGGGGATTCCACAGAAGAGACCCTCTGCCTTCTTGAGGGCCTATGACTTTTTGTCCAGTGTGCATAAGAGGTGGACATTTTATCTAGTACTGGATTGTGTTCCAACAAAATACACTCAAGTGCTTTCTCCTCTTGGCCTTGACCCCAGGACCTGGCAGAGAGCAAGTAGGACCCATCCCTCTACACCCCCTAAGGGGGAAATCAGTATCGCCCCTCATTGTGTGGATGACTGAATTGCCCACAGACCTTGGGAAATGACAAAAAAGGCCCCCCCAGAACCCCTAGTCGAGGACTTTTCCATTCTCTGCTTCACTCACTTGATTCTCCAGTGTCCATGGGTTTCCAATCTCAAGAGGTCCTTCATCAAGACAGCCTTGGGAAAGTATGAATCCCACATCCCCTTCTTGGAAGTCCTCCTCGCACACCTGCATTTCCAGCCCTCCAAGATACAAGACAGAAAAGAGATCTGTTAACCTTTATGTGGCTCAGGATTTCCCAGGCTTGCCAACCACAGAACCCCCTCTTAAACCTGCACGGCCCCTAATATTGTCCCAGGGACTTCGCGTCCTGAGGAGCACTTGGGAACCAGACTCCACCTCACAACCTTGCTGCCTCTGTCCTTCAATACTATGACCTTTCAATACTTTCCCAACCTAAGATCTTTCCCAGTAAGAGCCTGCGAAGCTCTCTGTGGGAGATGATAGTGTGGGAGGGAGGCGGACTCCCGAATCAGCTAATTCAGGCCTCACTGAAAGGCAAACTCTCCAACATCCATAAACGAAGTCCCATCTGAGTCCATGCTTCCTCCAAAAGCTAACGTGGGCCAGGAAGATTGAATGCTTGGGCCTCCAGGTTCTCCGGTGCAGAGACTGGTGCTTAATGCATCCCTCTATCTCCCCTTCAGCTCATTAAAATGCCGTTAGCCTGAGGGTTAGAGGCCCAGGAGTGGGTCTCAAATGCCATCAGAAGCCTTGATGACTTTTTGAGCCACTAATTGATCCTGAGAATAACTGCTCTCCTTTTCCTCCCCTCCCAGGTGAACCAGGAACTCCAGGCAGGATCATGAATTCAGGTAGGCAGGCCCTGCACTGTGCACTGGGCAGCTCCCTCGTGTACTAAGCACCTGCCCTGGCCTTGCCTCAGGATCCTCCAAGTCTGTGGGCTTGGTGCTCCGGGCAGGATGTAGAGCTGGGCTCTTCCGGTCAGAAGCAAGGAGGGTTGGGGAACCTTAAAGGTAACGGGAGCAAGAGGCGCTGGCCATAGCCTGGCTTGGGTCCCAGCACATCTGAGCAAGGAGAGTGGGGCTCAGTGTTCCACACGCCTTCTGTTTTCAGAGGGATCATCAACGCTCACTGTCCCAGGCCCTCCAGGACCTCCTGGAGCCATGGGACCTCCAGGACCTCCAGGTGCCCCAGGTCAGTCTGTTTTCTTACTTTGCCCCAGATCAGCATCAGGCCTTGGTTACATTTAACTATAGCAATGTTCACTCAAATCCTAAAACCCAGGTAGGAACTGGGGGAAGAGTCAGGAACTGAGAAAGCCCCCTTCCAGATGGCCTGTGTGCCCTCGTCACACGCCGGCCAGTATCCCAAGGCCTGTGCAGGTATTGCATCATCAGGTCCCCACAGCACCGCTGAGGCTCAGGCAGGTAAATGACTTGTTTTAAATCACATGGCTAAGAAGTAGCAGAGTCAGGGTTTAGCCAGGGTCCTCTTGGCCTCCAGAACCAGCATTTGACCAGCCAGAGCACTCCGTCCTCAAAGAGTCCCCTCTTGGAAAACAGTTTGATAATATGCCACAAGGGCAATAAAAATGCTAAGAATCTATTTGAAGAAAATATCCCCAAATTGTCCAACAATAATGAGATGACTACAAAAATATGAAGACTTAAAGCTGTTAGCAGATAACAGTGTTCTTTCAAAGAGAAGAATACTTGTTAATGTGTGCTCGGTGGTTACAACTATATTTTTACAAGATAAAAATATGCTGGAAGGAAATAAAATGCCTGCAAGGTAAAGAATTATAGGTGATAACTTTTTTTCATTTATCCAAAATGCCTGTTATTTTGTTATATCTACTTTTTGATTATTTTAAATGTTTGTGTGTAAATGAACTACATTACTTAACAAGACCAATGTAAGTATGAACCAGTCTTCCCTCTTGATAAACTCCAGTGAAAGAGGGGACACTGGGGGCATTTAGAAGTCCCTAACCATTGAAGGACAGTGTCAGAGTGGCCAGTCCTGCCCATCCCAGGAGCCCCAGTGTCTGGCAGAGGAATTCTCACTGTGTGCCAAACGCTGTTCTGGTGTCAGATTGCTTATTGTTCTCAAAGAAGCAAGCTGACCTCTTTGGGCCACTATTCTATGCCTTGCAAGGAAGCTACTTATGCACACAGGCACTTGCCTTTTCTTCACTTCTTTCTAGAACTCTGACTCTAGATGTGTGATAAAGCCTTTTCTTCCTCAATCCCATTTCCAGGCCCTGTCGGCCCAGCTGGTCTCCCAGGACAGCAAGGTATGTCACCCCTCCAGTCAGAATGCATGACCGAGGCTGTTGGGAGAGACTCCTTCCCATCTCTAAGTGAAGTGAGACGGGCGTTTAGGGAAGGGAGGCAAGAGGACCACCCAGCTCATCACCCAGGGTCTTGCAAGGTCTCAGCAGCCAGGGGAGACACCTCCTCTCACTCTCTTCCCTGTGTCTGAGAAGATAGGGGTCCTCCGGAAAGGGGGGTGGAGGCTCTTGGGTCAGGGTCAAGCTCAGCTATTTTCACAGGCCTCAGGCCTCTTGTGACCAGATCTTGATAATCATGTCACCGTCCAGCAATTTATCCAAATTCCAAAGACCCAGTTCCTCCTGGGGTGCTTCTCTCTGACCCCACCCACCCAGGCTCAGCCCCGCCCACACTCAGCTCAGCCCCACCCATCCTCGGGAGCTCAGGCCCTGCCCCAGCCTGGGCCACTTCCAGGGAGAAAGCACTGACGGATTGCTGCAGGCAGTGCCCACCACCCAGCTCTGTGTCCTCCCCACAGGCCCGAGAGGGGAGCCAGGACTTGCTGGCGAATCGTTCTTGAGCAGTGGCAGCTCCATCTCTGAGGTCCTCTCTACCCGTGAGTGCCACCACGTTGTCCAGGGCAGGTGACCTGGGGGTGGGAGTGGGCTGAGGCCAGTGGCAGCTGCGTCATGCAAGCCCTGAGGTAAGGATGGCAGCTCGTCTGAAACAGTGCTAGCTGAGAAAGAACAGCAGGGGTTTTCTCAGCTCGGGAGGATGAGTCACAGCGGATAGCACAGCTGTCAAAGGGGGTCTCAGGATTCCAGGAGGACCAGGGTCACGTGGGGCCTCTGGACCCTGCCCTGAGTGTGACTGGAGTGTGCGTCCCCCTCTCTGGAAGCAGTGACGAGGGTCTGTGGGTTCTCAGTCACAGGCCTGGCCTGAGAGGGTTGACTCCTGGGTCCCCCAGTTCTCAAAGTCCTTTAAAAAGCCCAGCAGAGATGCCGCTGGATCTCGCACCTGAGCACCTGAATAGCAAAGACAATGGCCAGCCCTGGTCCAGCAGTCACTGTGTGCCGAACACTGTGCTGTGAATCCCACTGTGTCTGTTCAAGGCCCTGTGATGTCAGTCGTAGGCCTCTGCTTTACAGCAGAGGAAGCTGAAGCTGAAAGAGGTTGAGAACATACCCAAAGTCACAAGCTGGAAGCAATGGGGCAGGACTTAGACTCAGGCTGTGTGACACCAGAGCCATGCTCTTACTCATCACTGTGTACACCCACATCAGCCATCAGGGAGTTGGACCCAGCTTTGTCCTGCCTCTGAGCCAAAGGCACCTCTAGCACAGGGGGTCCTGGAGGGTCCAGTGCCATGACCCCTGACTCTCGGCCCAGGGTGGGAGTGTGAATATAGGTGCTGGTGATCCTGGTGAGGGGTAAGGCTGGCAGAGAGCAGCCTCATGACAGCTTCTGCTCATCCCTGGTTTCTTCTTTCTACAGAGGGTCTTGATTTACGAGGTCCCCCAGGCCCACCTGGACCACCTGGGCCACCAGGTGAGCACCTCAGGGATCTTTGGAAGGTTGGGAATCTTGGGGCAGGTAGCTCAAGGCACTTAGTGAAGAAGCCAAGATACTGGGTTCAGCTTTTCCCCTTCCTCACCCTCTTCTACAGGACTGTCCATTCCAGGCCCCCCAGGCCCCCGAGGCCCAGCAGGTAAGACCTGAGCGGCGGGAGGCATGAGACAGTGGGACCCAGAGCCCACGCTTCTTCCCAGTAGGCTCTTAGGAAGGAGCTTCCCTGCCACTTCTCCTCCTGGGCAGGGGTTCCCAGCTGACCCCTTTGCATTAATAAGTCTTGGGGTTCTCTTATTTAGGGGAAGGCTTGCCAGGCCCACCAGGCCCACCAGGCCCACCAGGATCTCTCCGGACCAGCTCAGGTAATGCTGGGGAGCCAAGTCCCTCCCGTCCTCCACCTCAGCCCTAGCCCAGCACGTGCTGTGGTCACAGGCATGCAGCCTTCCTGACCGACTCACCATGCTTCCTCCTCCTGACTTTCCACCGTGGGTGTGTTTGCATAAACTCCCTGCTACCTGCTGCATGGAGAGAGGGTGCTGGTGCCACCCCACCCACCCTGAGAGCCACTGGTAGCCTAGCCTGGGGGAGACAGCCAGTTCTGCCCTGGGGGAGCTTCTGGACTGACTGGAGACACCTGGCTCCTGTCCTCAGGGAGCCCAGTTCGGATAAAGCAGGCAGGACATACGCACGTGAAATGGGATAGATGCTGATCGTGTAACATAGAAACATACGGAAATAACTTTAGCGCAAACATTAGCCCAGAACTTGTCTCTAGTGGAAAATTCATCCATCCATCGACCCACCAACCTGTTTGTTCATTCTTTCTTTGTCTTTATTTATTTTTCTACCCACCCATCCATCTGATAAATATTGACTGGGCATCTGCGGAATGACAGGCACTGGGCTAGAGGCTGCTTCCTCAAACATTGCTGCATCTATACTCAGAACTCTTTCTTTCTTCCACAGAGAACTTCTTCTCTGGCCCTCCAGGCCCACCTGGCCCCCCAGGCCCCAAGGGAGACCAAGGTGAGAAGTGTCTTAGGGAGCACGGGAGCCTGTGTGTGCCCCTGCTTAGAGTTTGGATGAGCTGGCGCGTGCCTTCATGCTCCTGCCATATCCCATTAGGAGCTCAGCAGCCTAGAGCAGGGGGTTGGGGAGGCACAGTGGTCAGACGTTGTGCAAAGAATTCCCACCTCTGCACTGTCCCGGGGAGCCCCCAGCTTGGTGTCTACTCCAGCCCGGAGCCCTGTCCCCTCCCCCACAGGCACCTTGAATCACAGCATCTGGTTGGGTCATGTCTCACAACGCTGCCTTCTCCCTCAGGTCCCCCAGGTCCCCGAGGACACCAAGGTACAGCAGAGCTGGCATCAAACACACCTGGGATGGGGATGGGGTGGCAAAAGATGACCTTCCAAGAGCCCTGAGTTTCTTGAGTTTGGTCCAAATGAGTGAGGGTAGATGTATGTCTCTGATGGCTGAGAATTTGTGTGTGGGGGGTGTGGGGGGTGGTAGCTCCAGGTACTGCCTGGCAGGCAGCGCAGCCCCAGCCATCGTAAACCTTGAGGAGCCTTGGGGCTGGGGCACAGGAAGAGGGAGGGAGGCACAGCTAACTGTCACCTTTCATCTGTGTCCCTCAGGCGAGCGAGGCCTTCCAGGGTTCTCAACCTCGGGTAAGTGCTGAGCGCCCCCCACTGCTGGCTCTGCCGGAGCCTCTCCCCACGCTGACTGTACTCTGTTATTGGCTTCTAGGCTCCGGTTCTCTTGGACTCAATCTGCAAGGACCACCAGGCCCACCTGGCCCTCAGGGACCCAAGGGTGACAAAGGTCAGTGAAGGTGGTGAAGAGTGGGAGCAAGGCTGGCTCCCAGAGCCCTAATAGAGGGCAGCAAGTACTTATTGGTGCTACAGCCTTGGGAGGAAGAAGAGGCTGAAGAAAGGAGAGCCTGGAGAGAGAAAGGGACAGGGATGGGAGGATCCAGTCTCTGCCCAAAGGGAGGTGTGGTATTACTGCAGAAATGAAACTAAGAAACATGGGACAGTTGTTGAGCCACAAGCTGATAAGTGTGGTTAGGCTTAACCAGGGAAGGCTTCCTGGAGGAGGTGATGCAAACAAAGCTTGTTTTGGATTCCAGGTGATCCTGGAGTCCCAGGGGCTCCTGGCATTCCTGGTGGTCCCTCTCGAGGTAAGAACCAAAAGTGACCAAAATTCTTCGCCCCTTCAAGAGAGTCTGGTCATGCCAGTGAGGATGTTAATTATCTAATCATTCACTTATCCATGATTCAGTGTTGATGAGGTACTTTCTCACGTGCTAGGGTCTCTGAGCTGTCTTTAAGGAGGTTACAAGCAAGTGGGATGGGAGGGAAGGGTGCCTGCACGATAAAGATGACTAACAATGCAGAGCGGAACAGAGCCGGGAGCTAGGGGTTCAGGGGCGAGGTGGGCCGTGTGGGCAGCGAGTAGGTTGCTGAGGGAAAGGGAGGGCTTGTCTGGCGAGTTCCTGTGAGCTCTGTGCCCCTTGCGGACAGTGGCTTTCCTGCCGTCTCTTTTTGGGGAGACCTTCCTCTTTGCCCAGTCCTACTTCTCCTACTGAGGAAGACCCTCCCTCTTCAGACCATGGAAGTATTGCCTGAGCCCCTTCGTCTGACCCCAGAGTGGAGAAACCAACTCAGAGGCTTTCTCTCCTGCAGGGGGTTCGTCATCAAACACCATGTTCATGCCGGGCCCACCAGGCCCTCCAGGGCCCCCTGGGCCTCCAGGCTCCATCAGCAGCTCTGGCCTGGAGATTCAGCAGTACATCTCTGACTACATGCAGAGTGAGTGCCGGGGTCAGAGTGGGGCTGTGTGTGTGTGTTGGGGGTGGCAGTCTAAACAGCCAGGCCCAGGCCCTCCACCCTTGGAGCCAGGACTGCAGGTCCATGAGCTCCCGGACACCTGCCTTCTCACAGCTGCCCACATACACAGCCTTGCCCTCACCCCAGGAGAGGCTCACACACCCACACGCCTGGCCACACGCACACATACACACACACATACCTTCACACCTGTGTGCGCTCCCCCAACCTAATCCCTGTGCCCCAGGGATGTGAGAGTGTGGTTCCCACTGACTGGAGGCTTGCTGGTCCATAGCCCTCGGCTCAGGTCTCTGCCCCAGCTTCTCCATCTGTAACAAGAGGAGTCCAGGCTCCCTGCTGGCCCTGCCTTGGCTTGTGTGCGGGGTGGGTTTGGCATTTCATCAAGTGCTTCAGGTCACCTCCATGGGGAGGACACACCCTCCCAGGGAAAAGCTTGACTTTGCTTTATTTCTTTGTTGGCAGGTGACAGTATTAGGTCTTATCTATCTGGAATTCAGGGACCCCCGGGCCCACCCGGTCCCCCTGGGCCTGTCTCCACCATCACGGGTGAGACTTTCAACTACTCGGAGCTGGCCAGCCTCGTCGTGAGCTACTTACAGAGTAAGCCTCTCCCCAGCCCTGTAACGGTGTCTTCCTCCCAGGGTCCACTTTTATTCCTGGAGCCTCGTTTCTTAATTTGCTTTTTGCTTTAACTTCTTCTGAATGTGATGTTCAATGCTGAATTCACAGTAATCAGGCCACAGGGATCTAACTTTAAAATAGGTTTGTTGAGACCAAGAATGGTGGCCACGCTGCAGAGCCCCTCTTGCGGGTAACGTGTCTGTCCTCAGTATATGAAAATGGATCCTTCCGGTTGGCAGGATCAAGTAGGAGTTAGTCTGAAACATGTTCTTGAAAATAAACTGCATTTTTTACCAAACAAAAACAAAACAAACACAAAAACAACCTTTGACCTTTTCATGCTTTCCAAATGGCCTCCTAATGCCCCCATTCATTCACTTTCCCCAAACGGATGCAGCCGATTAACCAGGTCTTGGTGATTCTGGAGTCACAAGGGCGTTGCTTCAGTACCAGCCAAGCCAGTAACCCATCTCCTTCCCCACAGGTTCCGGGTACAGCATCAGCACGTCCTCTGCCTCCATCTCTTCTGAAGACATCCTGGCTGCGCTCCAGCGTGAGTGGCCTGCCTGGGCTGCAGGGTGGGGCCTTTCTCCTCTCCTGTGAGGCCGTTCCTCAGGACGAGGAGCCACTCCCTCCTTGCTCCCAGCAGCCAGCTAGAAAGGGGGGCATCAGATCTCCCCGCCAGTGCCGGGCAACCAGGCGGGTACCCCTTCACTACCAGGAGCTAGCTGATGTGCCCCTGGGGGCTGAGAACCTCCAGCTCACACATGTCCTGCTGGCCAGTCTGCGGGGAGACCAGCCAGCCGGTGGGCCATGCCAGTGCCCCCTCTCCTTCCAGGGGACGAGGTGCAGCAGTACCTACGTCAGGTCCTGATGGGCCTTCCGCGGCCCCCAGGCACCGGTGGAGATTGGTCCCTCCAGTCTTTGGACTACGCGGAGCTGAGCAGCCGCATCCTGAGCTACATGTCCAGTGAGTGTCCACTTCCATAGGTGGGGCTGGCGGGAGGCCTGGGTGAGGACGCGGGTGCTGGACATCCCGGGAATGGCTTCTGACCCTCTCCTGCCAGCCTGCACCCAACCCAGAGGGAAGGAGTGGCTTCGGGGCTGTTCAAACCTGCTGCCCCGAGCAGGTCACGGAGCCTCAGGCTCTTGAGTGTCTTGGGCACCATCCTGAGTGGAATTTGCACACAACTCACACGCACACTTCTCTATACAGAGACAGGCACGCATTTCTCTACACGTGTTCATGCACGTGCACACACACACTTGTACACACACGCACACTCCCACACACCAGCAGGAGGGATACAGGCTCTGCTAGGCCCACGCACCTCCCTCTCCACGTCCGTACTCAGGCAGACTTACTCTCTGCCGTCTCTTCCTGTTGCCCCGACTCTCCCCTCTCCCAGACCCCACTCCTGTTCAGACAGTTGCTTCTGTCTGGCTCCCTCTCCGACCTGGGGTTCCCATTGGTGTTTCTGTCTGCCGTTCCCCATCCGATCTGCATCCTTCACAACTCGGGATTCTGTTCCTCAGGCACTGGAGTCAGCATTGGGCTTCCTGGCCCCCCAGGGCCCCCGGGCTTGCCGGGGACGTCCTATGAGGAGCTCCTCTCCTTGCTCCAAGGTAGGGCTGAGCAGAGCCATTTGAATGGGGGCTTTAGGGTGGAGGGCAGGTCCCTTGGCCCCGGGTGGAGACCAATCCTTGCTCCTCCTTGGTGTCTCAGGGTCTGAATTCAGAGGCATCGTTGGGCCCCCAGGCCCCCCTGGGCCACCAGGGATCCCAGGCAGTGCGTGGTCCAGCATCAGCGTGGAGGACCTCTCGTCTTACCTGCAGAGTAAGGAGTGAGGCAGGTGGAGGAGGGCACTCCATCTCAAGGGGTCCCGCAGGTTTGAGCAAGGGCAGTGCGGAGATTTCAGCCCACTCGCTGGTCACTTGGTCCCCTGGTGCAGGTACAGGGCTGGGCTCTGGGGCCCTGGAGGGGGACATACTTGCTTCTGGGGTGTCTTCAGTGGCAGGAGGGTTTAGTTGCGGGGAGACAGTGCTCCCAAGTCTTGAGAGAACTCATGGCCAGCATGTGACCCGGCGCCAAGCCGAGAGATCCACTCTCAGCAGCAGAAGGGCTGACGTAATCTGGGTTGAATGAGGCTCGGGACTGGGGCCCTCCTTCCAGAAGGGCCCGGGCTAGGAATTCATGGTGACCTTTCTTTCTCTTGCCTCTCCCTCAGCTGCCGGCTTGTCATCTATCCCAGGCCCCCCAGGCCCTCCAGGTCCCCCAGGCCCTCGAGGGCCTCCGGGTGTCTCAGCAGCTCTGGCGACCTACGCAGCTGAAAACAGCGACAGCTTCCGGAGTGAGCTGATCAGCTACCTCACAAGTAGGTGCCCCTGACGTCGCTGTCACTCCTCCTCCCCCTCCCAGACCGTGCTTCTCCCCATAAAAGGGGCAGGAGGGGCTTGAAGGGACCTGGAGGCCCGACACAAGAGCCCTGGTTGGGAAATCCAGCTTTGTCCCGGACCAGTCTCCCGCTTGGTGCAAGTTCACAACCTGCTCAGAGGTGTCGAGATCCTAGGAGAGACCCCCCAACTCCCACTTCTCTGTCTCCTGCCCCCAGACCCAGCCCCACCAACACCGCTTCCCCTCACAGGTCCTGATGTGCGCAGCTTTATCATCGGCCCCCCAGGCCCGCCCGGGCCCCAGGGCCCCCCAGGGGACAGCCGCCTGGTGTCCATGGACAGCTCCTACAGCCGAGGCAGCAGCTCCTCCTCGTCCTCCTCCTACAGCTCGTCCATGGGCATAGGAGGAGCCAGCGGAGGCTCCCTGGGCGAAGGGGGAGCCTTCGGTCTGGACCTGGGCCTGGGCCGAGGCTACGGGGCAGCAGCAGAAGGCGGCACGTTTGGTGGCGAGGGTGTATCGTTTGGAGCTGGCTTTGCTGGAGGTCTGGACTACAACGAGCTGGCCGTTCGGGTGTCCGAGAGCATGCAGCGTAAGTGACACCGCGGCCTCAGTGCTGGGGGCCGGGGACGTGGTGAAGGGGGGCGTGTGAGCATCTCCACATCCAGGAGGACAGTAACTCTGGAGTCAGGTGGGCAGGAACCGAAGACCAGGGCCTGGAGCCCCTGCTGCAGGGAACAGACATGCTGGGGTCTTTGTACTTCATTTTCTTTCTCACATGTGGTTCTCAGAAGAGCCTGTGACTGTGAAGGTTTTCTGGTGGGGCTGAGGAAACGTTGCTGGCTAAGAGGTCCTTTCTCCCTGTTGCACACCAGCACCGTGGTGCAGCAAATAGCCTGTAATAAAAGCCCACGGAGACGGAGCCCTGTGCCATCAACAGGGGAGACAAAGGACACATGGGGCTCCTCCCTCGCTGCCGCGTCGTCTAAGCTACTGCATTGGGAGTTAGCCACAGGGCGCTGTGCTCCCCACGTGACCCCTGCTCCCTGGCCCACACTCTGGTGTTTTTCAGGTCAGGGCCTGCTCCAGGGAATGGCCTACACGGTGCAGGGCCCACCAGGCCAGCCTGGGCCCCAAGGGCCCCCTGGCATCAGCAAGGTCTTCTCTACCTACAGCAACATGACCGAGGACCTCATGGACTTTTTCCGAAGTAAGGGCACCCCCGACTACTTACCCAACACTTAACTTGCTGCATAGCTCACACAGGGCCTGCTCCGAAGAAACTGGTCTCACAAAAAGCCTCGTTACCACTTGAGATGCTGAAAATGATGAATTCTAAACACTGTTTCCCTCTTATAAGTCCAAACTCTACCACTACCTGCCATGTTAAAGTCTGAACAAATCACTTTACTTCCCAAGTTTCAGGGTGACCTCTAGTCTAAAGCCAGTTTTCCCCCTTGCAGCTTACGGAGCTATTCCAGGACCCCCTGGACAAAAGGGAGAGGTGGGCTTCCCTGGACCCAAAGGTAAGTGATGGCAGGAAACCACCACCAGGATACTGTATAACAGCTGCCTCTCGTGGGAAGCAGCTCCCTTGCCAGTGCTGTGCGGGGACCGTGTGGCCCTCCAGCCTCGCACTGTGCTTCACTTAGCCCTGCCCCGAACTGTCCTCCTAGGTGAGAGGGGCCCTGCTGGACCACCAGGTCGGCCTGGGCCACCCGGCCCTCGAGGGCACAAAGGAGAAAAAGGAGACAAAGGTAAGCCTTAGCTGCCACAGCATCTGGAGTGCTGGGAGGCAGACTGTACCCAGAGCAAGACTGAAAATTTAGGCAAAAGCCAATTTCTAAAGGCACATATGGCCAACAACATAATTTGCATAACAATCAAATGAAAGGCCAGGGAGAAAGGAAGGAAATTGTCCGTGCAGGGAAGAAAAGGAAAACCATGCTGGGAATGAAATGGAGTCATCAATTTTAATAAATGGATAGTCTCACAAAAGAGTCCATCTTTCAAGTCAGTTTTGCAGTAGTCACAGTTGCTGTAATTACCCAAGCAAAAGTCCTCAGAGACCAAAAGGTATTTTTTAACTTCCTATTCATCTTTCAAACTTCTAGGTGACCAAGTCTATGCTGGGCGGAGAAGGAGAAGCACTGCTGTCAAGCCATGAGTGAGCCTTGGCAGAACAGCCCTCTGGACCAGTTCTTGCAGTGGCTTATGGCACTTAGGTCAAAATCTCTCCAGAGGGTAAAAGCTGGAGTCTCACTGTCCTACTGAAACAGCACAGCAAGTAGTCAACTAGGGCCCTGTCTTAGTCTGGCACAATATATATATGTATGTAGAATTCATTCCAAGACACAGTCTGCGACAGCTTCACGGGGTGGGCTCAAGCGGCTGCAGGGTTGCAGAATGAGATGGCCTCCCCGCCTCCAAGCCTGAGCCCTCCGCTTATTCAACCCTGACCTAAGGAAGCCAGTTACGTGAAAGTTGGCTCAGGAGTCCTTGAGCTTTGCCTAAAAATGAGCCCAGAAAATGGAAGACGGGATGCAAGCCCCAGGGGGTCTTCCTGGGGTGACACTCAGTGGGGCTGTTCTGGTGAACACAACAAGGCTGTGCTCTTGGCTCCTCCCTCCGCATTCTCTCTATAGTCATAGGAAAGAGCTGGCTAAGAAGCAACTCTCGCAACTGAAAAAACTAAGAAATCCACTTCCCTTGGAAGGTGGTGACAGGGTCTCTACTAGTTATTTCTCAATATCTATCACATTCCCACTTGCTTAGAAGTTTGATTGCAGCTAGGCTCTGCGTCCATAGGTCCGTGCTAGAGTTGATAAATACGGTACACTGAACTAGGTTGCAGCCAATAGGAAAAGGGCAGTTGGACAAGGAAGAATGAAGGGGAGAGGAGAGAGAGCAGAATGCCTGACACCCCTGCCCTGCACTTAGGAAATGCATAGGGGACTGGGCACAGTTAGTTTTTAGGCACTTTTCAATGTCTACAAACGTTTATGTGGTCTGTTAGATGAAGAGTCATTTCAACTGCAAAATTTCCAATTAAAAGTTTTTTTCTTCTTTTTTAATATTATGTTTAATGTGATCCATCTAACCAAAAAAAGAAAAGAAAATGAATGAAAGGAGGAAAAGAAAGAAGGAAAGAAAATATTTTGGGTTAACTGAGTTTGATTCTAACACCATTACAAATGCAAGAAAACATATATAAAACAAATACTAACAGACATAAAGGGATTAATTGATGGGAATACAATAATAGTAGAAGACTTTAACACCCCACTAACATCACTGGACAGGACTTCCAGACAGAAAGTCAATAAGGCAACGGAGATACTAAATGATTCAACAGAACAGTTGGACTTGGTTGATATTTTTAAGACATTACATCCCAAAACAGAATATATATTCTTTTCAAGGGTTCATGGAACATTCTCTAGGATAGGCCACATACTCTGGCACAAAAGAAGCCTCAACAAATTTAAGGTAGAAATTATTTCAAGCATCTTCTCTGATCACAGTGGCATGAAACTAGAAATCAACCCCCAGAAAAACAAATGAGAAAAAAAAATGACAGCATGGAGACTAAATATAAATAACATGCTACTAAAAAACCAGTGGGTCAACAATGAAATCAGAAAAGAAATTTAAAAATACCTTGAGACAAATGACAATGAAAACAAAACCACACAAAATCTATGGGATGCAGCAAAAGCAGTCCTAAGAGGGAAGTTCATAGTGATACAGACCTTCCTCAAAAAACAAGAACAGTCTCAAATAAACAAGCTAGAAGAATTAGAAAAAGAAAAACAAACAAAACCTGAAGTCAACAGAAGGAAAGAAATAATAAAGATCAGGGGGGAAATAAATAAAATAGAGACTTAGAAAAAATTAATCAAACCAAGAGCTGGTTTTTTGAAAGAGTAAACAAAACTGACAAACCTCTGGCCAGGCTCACCAAGAAGAAAAGAAAGAGGGCACAAATAAACAAAATAAGGAATGAAAATGGAAAAATTATAACCACTACCACAGAAATACAAAAAATCATAAGAGAATACTGTGAACAACTATATGGCAATAAACTACAATTTAGACAAAATGGATGTTTCTAGAAA